TTTCATTCATAATGTCATAACAAAATGCTTACCAGTCAATTTATATACAACTAATAACGATAACAGTTAACCTGTTTTTTACAAACATGTACCGTCATATAAGCAAGGAATATTTGAAACAGATGAGAACAATATAATATATATACATAAATACACTTAATTATACATTTGGCATATCAGGGGCTACTCACTCCACTACATGTACCAATAACATGTACTAAACTTAAACTTGTATTTTGAAGCTTGACTCCGAGATGTCCCAGAGAAGCGTTAGAATGAAAAGCGCTTGACTCCGAAGATAACCTAGAGAAGAGGCATACGAAGCGACTTGACTCTTAACAAACCCTGGAGAAGCTGAGAAATAGAATATTCGACTTTTAAGCCGATTAAGAGCAACCAAGACTACCTTTACTCTGAAGCCGATTCATGAGAAGTAGGATTTATCTCGACTCTGGTGACCCATGAGTAGCTAAGTCCCAGTCTTAGTAATGGAATATTCTAATAAAATATTGGGGGTAAAATTTCCCAGGATTTAATAGCCCCCCAGGAATTAATAGCCAATGCAAGAATAACGAAAAAACAAATAAGGAGTGAATAGCCCACCTAACCTAGTAAGTAACAATGGAAGTACATGAAATAGGACACATATGACTTAAAGCAAGATTACACCTGGCACTTCAACAAATTTATAGATTTGTTAACAAAACAAACAAAAATCATCAATAAAGTAACAAATATGACCCATAACACATCTTCAAACACCTGGTGAAATATTATACATAATAGTGATATACATGCAATAGGTCTGAAAATTGTTAATAAGATAAGGCATATATATAGTAAACTTTTGATCAGTCAAATGGAAAAAAAGGCAAAAACTGTATACAGTAAAGCAAATGTAATACAAATTAAAAACCAGAGCACCACACCGCTGCAAGGTTGCCGCAATAAAATCGGCTAGTTTTCCAGAAACAGATGCCAGAAGTTCTGGCAAACAAAATGTGAATACGACCCATATTCTTACTATTTTTTAAAACTTTGATTTAATACAATGAATATTGCTTATTAAGTCTAAGCAGCGTTTAAAAATGCATGCAGTATTTAAAGTATTTAAAACTGAAAACAGGATCACTAAATTGTGTTTGGTGTTCCTGGGTCTGGTAAGACTATAGCATTTTGAAAAAAAATTACAGATATAAAGGATTGATTTTGTCAATGTCTTGACGGCAGATGTGGCAATGTTGATGCCTCTCCTCCAGTTCCACAGCACACACAAGGCAAACCAAATGGCCACAAGGATTGAAAAATGAATCGCAATATCTGTCTCTGCAAATTCCACAAGCCGGCATTCTTGGCATCTTCACAGTCTGAAAAAAAAATGGATTACAAAATATCAGGCATGGTTTTAATCAAAATTTTTCTCACTTGCTCTTAACGATTTCCTTAAATTATTATGTAATATACACTGCCCTCCAGTTCCTTGACACCTTAATTTTCTTGTCAGTTTGCAACTCAATCGCAAAAAAAATAACAAGAGATGCATAATTCGCCCATCGAGGCTTAAGGCGATTCTCTTTTGCCTTCTCGAAAATTGATGGAGATCTGCGTACCGAAATAAACAAAGGGCAATTACTCTGTCAACTATAATGCAATTCCGTCTTTGCAGAGTTGTCTCCCCTTTGGGTAGGTATGTGCGTCAAGGTCATTGTGATGTCATTATATTGCTAAGCAACTGACGTAAAATGCGGGAAATTAAAGACAGAAAAAACGTTGTTTCCCTGGGAAACTGATGACGTCACAATTGTATCGACGTCATTTACATACCCAAAAGGGAGACAACTCTGCAATATGCAAAGACAGAATTGTTAACCTGTGGCATTTCCTGAATATGAGTAGAAGATTTTTTAAGATTTGCTGAAATTTCCCTTTTGGGGTCCCGCCCCTCAGATTTAAGGATCAATTGGACAATACTAGTTTTTCAAGATCTGTATGAACTATATTATATTATTCAATATACAGAAATGCTTTTAGACTAAATTCCCTGCATTACCACATGTTCTTTTGCTGAATTGTCCTGTCTGGTTTCTGTACATTATCTATTTGTTGAAATTTAACCCAATTAACTTACGACAGGTGAATCTTGATCTGTGGGACCTTGCAGCATGACATTTGAGGGTTCGATCTGTTGTTGTTCACCTGTAGGATTGTGCTGTTCTGTCGGCTGTATAAGATCAATGAAGTTTGAGGGTTCGATCTGTTGTTGTTCACCTGTAGGATTGTGCTGTTCTGTCGGCTGTATCAGGGATTCAGTTCTGTTCTGTAAACAAATAAGTGGAGATAACTTGACCATGCGACATTGAGACATGGAGTAAAACATTGATGTAAGCTCGTGCAATGTGCTGAGCTCATGTGATTAATTTGTACAGCAAATTGCTCTACAACATTATATACACATATAGTATGGAATAGTATGTATGATGTGTTACGAATATGTGCGGCTGTGTGTGTGTGTGTGTGTGTCAGCCCTTCCATTTGTAGGATTTTGAATCCCCACCATCTGACGATGTATCCAATCCAGTCAAATATGGTGAATCTCTATCATATAGTTTGGGAGGAGAAGTAATTTAAAGCAATATGGTCAAATTACCCCCTTTCAGCCCTGTCCCTCAACCTCTGCAGTAGTCAGCCCTTCCATTTTTAGAATTGTGAATCTCCACCACATGAGGATGCTTCTAGCCAAATATGGTTCATATATCTAGCAAATAGTTTCAGAGGAGAATTACGCTATTGAAAGCAATATGGTCAAATGACCCCCTTTCTGTCTTTCCCCTCAGCCTCTTGAGGGGATCAGCCCCTTCCATTTGTAAAATTTTAAATCCCCACCACGTAAAGATGCTTCCAGCCAAATATGGTTCTTATCCATGAAATAGTTTCAGAGGAGAAGTGTAAAAGATGCTTCTAGCCAAATTTGGTCAAAATTCCTTTAGCCATTTCGGAGAAGGAGTTGAAAATGTTGAAAAGTTTGACTGCAGAAACAATTTTGGTTCTAGCCATGCAATGTTGAAGTCTGATCTATGAGCGTTACATCCTATTCATAGTACAAAATAGTATGCCCTTTCTCCATTTCCCGATTATGAGAAGATATTTTTAAGACTTGCCGAAATTTTCCCTTTTGGGGCCCTTCCCCTCAGGTCCCTGGGAGTTCCCTTAATTTTTGCGAACATGTTTTCTCTTGGCCTAGGTATTATTAACACCCAATTTTGTTCAAATGTGTGCATTCATTGCAATGTTATAGCCAATTTGATTAATTTCCTTATATAACACTAGTAAAACTTGACCCCCGGGTATGGCCCCATATGTACCCCAGCAGAACCGGCATGAACAAACTTAGATCTTGACACCTAAATGTACCTTTTGTACAACACCATTCACCTGTGGTATTTCCCTACTAGAAAAAGTGAGCAAAACTCACAATCCCCTACCCCGAAGAGATGGGTGTGAAAGACGTAGTATCTTATACCTTTGATGACAAACACACCTGTGAAACTGAGTCAAACATGAAAACTTAATGTTGACGCCACTGCCGCTGCAAAAGTAATATCTATGTCTAAAATGGCCCATTGAAATTGTTCAATTTTAAGAATCTACTATGCAATGGCCCATAGCGATCTAGTAATACATTAATATAACCTGAAAATGGCCCGTTGATTCAAATTTCTTCCTAATCACTGAGCATGAAATTTGCATGAAAAGTCAAATTCACTTAATTCCACCTGATTTTTTTCACTTGAAATTCAAGTGAAGACATATTGCTTTGTTTGATGATGACCTACTGTTACTGTTTACCTCGTCAACAACGCTTTCTTACTGTTCTGTCCTTGGGACTGACAGATAGATAACGGCGAAGAACACGTCAGATGCTTTAGACTTTTAATATTCTTCAAACCGTAAGAAACTACAACAAACAAATAACAAGTACACATGCAATGTGAACTACAATATCATTCTTATTAAAGAATATTTCCAGAAAGATGTTCGTACACTTATTGATTCCTTCTACTAATTATGTTTACAGGTAATACCAAGAATGGTAGGGATAAAATGTGGATAATTACGGTATTACTGCAATACCAATAATGGTAGGGATAAAATGTGGATAATTACGGTATCACAGCAAAGAAATCCAAGGGAGATAACTCTATTACAATGACTAGAATCTGTCTCATTATACTGTACATGATAAACCATGAGTAGAAACATTCACATTATACTGTATATAATGAGATAAGGGCAAGACACAATCGTCTAATAGTTAATTTGTAACAAATCATACAATGATATACAGTTAATTACAGTCAGGCATTACTTGTCTTTTCGAACACTAAAAAAGAAAACAATAAAGTGATTATCTACACTGAAAACTTACGCGTTGCTGGCTCGAGTAGCTTACAGCCAACCATGTGTGAAAGGGTGCCTTAACATGTCCAATAATAGTCTGGGAGCACTGTAAACATCAGTAATATTTTGTATAATAAAAAGATGACTGATCTTAAAAATGTTTGGACTTAAAATGTAATATGGGTTCTCATTGTACAATCTTACACATACATGTAGCACCATAACAAAATCTCATCAATAAATCAGCAGCATACAGATTATATTGTGACTGACATTATAAACCCACTGGCTCATTAGTTGTATAATTCACAAACATTGAACTAATCAGACATTTATCAAAATATAACAAGAAAGGTGTCTAACAGAGGACTTAAACAGATATGATGAAATCAAGAACTTATGAAAACACATGGACACATATCTAGAACCATGTGATTACAGTGAATTGTTACCCTAGCTTGTAACAAAATATTAAACATTGTTCTAATAATACTGTTTTCATTGGAATATTAATCTCACAACAT